TAAAAAAATTAAAAGACCAGAAGAGATTACGGCAAGATGTTGACAGCTGTTAATTCTGGGCTGTGGCCAGACATACGTATTTAATATTCTCTATACTTTTCTATTTTGGACATGTTGAAATATTATTTTTCAAAAAGCTGCTCACAGTTTGCTTTTTTTTTTTTTTTAAGAAGATGTTGGGGATAGGAGTTTAGTAATTTATTTATTTATTTTTGCTGTGTTGGGTCTTCGTTTCTGTGCGAGGGCTTTCTCTGGTTGTGGCAAGCGGGGGCCACTCTTCATCGCGGTGCGCGGGCCTCTCACTATCACGGCCTCTCCTGCTGCGGAGCACAGGCTCCAGACGCGCAGGGTCAGTAGTTGTGGCTCACGGGCCTAGTTGCTCCGCGGCATGTGGGATCCTCCCAGACCAGGGCTCGAACCTGTGTCCCCTGCATTAGCAGGCAGACTCTCAACCACTGCACAACCATGGAAGCCCCCTCTGTTTGCTTTGATCACTGGGGAACCTCAAGTCACCACAGAGGCAACTTTGTGAACATCCGAAGTCAGCCACCAGGCTGCCTCACTGTCCCTTCACCTAAAGAAGTGCTCACATCCTGACCCATGGTTGGCTCCCCTCTCTGGCCTCCCCTGTCTGCGCCCTCTACCTCAAGAACAAACTTCTCTCCTTTTTCCATGCCCTGCAATTTAGCCATCTCCTATGTTGCATTGGCCCCAGCCCTCAGAGTCTCACCATTTGCCCAAGCCAGATTATCCCAGAATTGTCCCCAAAACAATTTTCTTCCTAAGACAGAGTAGGTCCAAAGTAGTAAAATAATAAAAAGTTCACCAACTCTGTCTTTGTATAGGGAAAGTCTCCAGATTGAGTCCTTTTTGTTATGTAGATGTCCATGCCTATCCATTGCCCTGATGGAAGGAATAACCCAGAACTGTTCTGCCATAGCAAGGGTCCCCGGTGGTAGCTCAATGGGTAGAGGCAGGTATGATGGAGGTGATGAGGATTCTTTCAGGGAAAAACTGTTTGCTCCAGCTGCTGGGGGTGCTATCATCAGACAGTGTTCTGCTGTCAGCCCTTTCAGGGATTGCGTCAACTGCAAAGAGCCACGTCACCCAAGGTCACACCCTTTCTTGGGCAGCCCTCACCCAAAGACTAACAGTCGCAGGTGTATAAAGCCCTGGTCATTTGGCTACCAAATGTGGAACATCACTTATGGTCCATTTTATCTCCCACATGGTCAGTTGAGTCTGTTGTCAGGCAGGCATTTCAGTAGAACTTCTCCCTGTGCCCAATCCTGCTTCCTTCCCTCCTATCCACAGGTGTTGTTCCCAAGAGGACTCGATAATAAGCACCCTGAACACTAAACTTCACCTGGTGCCTTACTCTCTTTCCCCCATACTCACTGGTATTATATGAAGGACGTTAGCTATCACTGCATTAATGGTGAATAACAAACACTGCCCGCCCCGCTCCCCCAATCTCAGTGGCATATGACAACAAACATTTCTTGCTGATTGGTCTGCAGGTCAGTTAGTCTCTAGTGGGGTTGTTGATCCTAGCTGGATTCAACTGGGCTTGGCTCTAGGCCACAGCTCAGTTTCAGGTCTAATCCACTGGTCTTTTGTTCTAGAACGTGACCTAAAGGAACAATAGATTCTTAAGACATGTTCTTCCTATGGATGGATGGCAGAGGTACAAGAGGGCTGGTGTGAATCATAAGACCTCAGCTGAGCTGAGACTGTCACGGACTACTCTTATGCCATTGGCCAAAACAGGTCACATGGCCAAATTCAGCATCCACGGGAATGGGAGGATACTCCACGCCACACGTAGCGAAAGAAGGGACAAGGGAGGAACAAAGGAATGTGAACAATTAATGCTTCAACTAGAAGCAGTCTGAATGGTGGGCAAATTTTCCTAAAGCCAAGGACCCTTCTGCGAAAAGGGAGAATAGGAGTTAGGCTTCTTCTCTGGGAGGTTCGGAATTACTAAAACATTATTGGGATGAACTGAGATGGTCCTATGTGCAAGGAGGGGCACAAATCCCCCAGATATAAAGAAATCATCATAAGAATAGAAGTGAAGGAACTTGGTGTAAGCTAATTCTATGCACATGTTGGGCTACTACTAGAACACTTTCTGAATGTCTCGGGGGAGAAATTGATCTATGTAGATTAAGTGGCCTGAAAGGGGCTTTAACATTAGGAACTCTGGTCCATCCCCTGCATCCATCACTTATGAAGGACCAGAGAAGGCTAGTGTGATAAATGGGGCCTTGCACTGAGCCCTCTGCCCTTCCTGTTCCCTCACTGATGTTATGGGACGATAACATCTCTGGGGAAGTGGCTGGTTTTCCCTCTCTACTTTTTGAGGCACTAGTAAGCAAGACTGATCCATGAGACATAGTAAGCACCACACCCCTGGGGTCTTTGGCCTTAGCGTGAGGGACTCCTGGAGCAAAGACATGCTTGCAATAAACAGGAGAGTTTCCTTCTCAGAGGAATGTAAATGTAAATCATCTAAATTATTTTCCATGCCAAGTATAAAGAGGAGGTCATGTTGATTAGGTAGAAAGAAATGACATTGTCCCTGCCCTCTAGAATTTTACAGTGTTTTGGGGAATACATGTAAAATGAGATTGCAAGGTTAGACATTTAGTGTCTTTCAGCTTTACTATCCCATCATGTTAAGATATGATGCATCTTCCCTTTGCATAATACTGGCTCAGCAGGCCAAATGTGCAATATACAGAGCCAATTTGAACAAGCCAGTGTCAGCATTCCATGTAGGATAGAGATTTGAGTATCTACTGACCTATAACATCAACAACCTGATTGCAACATCAAACAGCGAGTTGGATGACCTGCCAACTCATATGAGAAAATACCCGACATTTCAAAGTGCATAGCTCCAGGCAAGGCTGATTCCTGAGGACTGATACCTAATGGGAATAATTGCTCTCATGACAGTATGCAACTCTGACTACTATGTCTTACTCTATGGACTTAAGTAGTATTTTAACATCAGACAAAGAGACATACATGAAAATAAAGTTAACGTGAGTGTCACTCCCTGGTTTCTTGGAGTTATCAAGGCCCAGACAGCCAAGGCCTATGCAGTTCCTAAGTCATAACTGGACCACCATGGTGAGTTTACAACAATCCCATCCGTATCAGTAGTGGAACCCTGAACTACTTACTGTGTTTGCTCTGTGGAAAGGACTGGCTTTTGACTTTGGTTACCTAATTTCACTCCAGATTCTCTGAGGGGACTGGGGTCTTAGGCTCAATTCCATGCCATACACCTGGGATCATCCCAAAGTGCCCAGCCCTGTCCAGCTTCCTCACCTCAAAAGTTAACTCCAACTTTCATATTTCCAGCTGAAGAATAATATTCTATAAAAACTCAGAAGCCTCGTGAACCCATGATCTTTGAGTAACAGTGGTGCCAGGAGGCCCCTTTGGTTATATTCTACCCACCTGAACAGATCCCTTGGTGGGAGCAAGTCTGAATTAGCCACAAAACTCTCCACGCCGCTATTCATACTATTTGCCTCTGTGATTGGTAGAAAAGGCCTTCTCAGTCCCAGTCCCAGTACTGAAATCCCAAAATGCTTCCAAGCTGGCCCATCCACGTTGTGAAAATTACATCTGTGTTTGTGTTCACAGAGAATAATATTTATGTTAAATGAATACTGTTGGCATCTCATTTTTCCTTTTTCCCAATGCTGTATTATCATCAGAAATGGCAGAATTCTTTTTTTGTTTTTAAGATTTTTTTGATGCGGACCATTTTTAAGGTCTTTATTGAATTTGTTACAATATTGCTTCTGTTTTATGTTTTGGTTTTTTGGCCGCGAGGCATGTGGAATCTTAGCTCCCTGACCAGAGATCGAACCCGTACCCCCTGCATTGGAAAGGGGAGTCTCAACCACTGCACTGCCAGGGAAATCCCAGAAATGACAGAATTCTTAAGTGTTATGCATGTTTAGCCCCTGGTTTCTATTGGAACATTTATTAGAATCTTGAGAAATTAGATCCCCAAATTGCATATGGATTATTTATTCAAGATAGTAAAATTATTTAATCAAAATGTAAAAATGATAGGACTTAGAACGCTTACTGAACCAGTGATCAAATCACTGTTACATAATATGAAAATTATCTGCTTGAAAATTTCTAGAGGTTGCTGTCAGACACCATAAATTACCATGCAGCATTAAGAAACCAAGAGGTAATTATGGAAATGAATATTTTTAAAGCAGAATTGTGACTGGAAACAGTGACCTTTATTTTGGTTATTAAGTATATTTTTTTCAAGATAAATAATATTTTTATGTAAATTTTTTTATTTTTATGAGATAATATCAGTATATAATTATTAATTAAAGTCCATAGTTTACATTAAGATTCATTCTTTGTGTTATATATTCTATGGGTTTTGACAAATGTATAATGACATTTATCCACCATTACAGTATAATACAGAATAGTTTCACTGCCGTAAACATTTCCTGTGCTTCCTTCCCTTTTCCTTCCTCTCCTGAAAACCTGGCAACCACTGAGTTTTTACTGTCTTCAGAGTTTTGTCTTTCCCAAATGTCAGAGTTGGAATCATATAGTATGTAGCCTTTTCAGATTGCCTTCTTTCACTTAAAAAAAATATGCATTGAAATTTTCTCCATGTCTTTTTGTGGTTTGATAGCTCATTTCTTCCCACTGTCTGGATGTATCACAGTCTATTTGCTTATTCACCCACTGAAGGACATCTTGGTTGCTTCCAAGTTTTGGCAATTCTGAAGAAAGCTGCTATAAACATCCATGTGCAAGTTTCTGTATGGATGAAAGTTTTCAACTCCTTTGGACAAATACCAAGGAGCACAGTTGCTGGATTATATGGTAAGAATAGATTTAATTGTATAAGAAACTGCCAAACTGTCTTACGCAGTAACAGTGCCATTTTGCATTTCTACCAGCAGTGAATGAGAGTTCCTGTTGCTCTACACCCTTATCAACATTTGGTGGTGTCAGTGTTTTGGAGTTTAGCCATTCTAATAGGTAGGTAGTTGTATTTAACTGTCATTTTAAATTTGCAATTCTCTGATGACATATGATGTTGAGCATTTTTTCATATGCTTATTTGCCATCTATCTGTCTTCTTTGGTGAGATGTCTGTTCAGATCTCTTGCCCATTTTTAAATTGAGTTGCCTGTTTTCTTTTTGTTAAGTTTTGGGTTCTTTATATATTTTGGATGCCAGTCTTTCATCAGATATGTGTTTTGTAAATATTTTCTCCCAATATGTGGCTTATCTTTTCATTCTCATAATAGTTTCTTTCTTAGAGAAGAAGTTTTTAAGTTTAATGAAGTCCAACTTTTTCTTTCATGGATTGTACTGGTGTTGTACCTAAAAAGTCATCACAAAATGCAAGGACACCTAGATTTTTTTAGGAAATGTATCCTTTTTATTGTGGTAAAATATACATAACATAAAATTTACCATTTTAACTCTTTGTAAGTGTACAGTCCTATAGCATTAAGTACGTTCATATTATTGTGCATCTAATAAATGTATTTTAAATATATATATAATTTTTAATTTCAATAGTAAAATACATCATTTTTGAAACAAAAAATACAGAGAAACAGACAGTATAAAGTAAAAATTACCCACAATCCCCCTTCCCAAAGATATAGCTATTGATATTTTGGTGTACAGCCTTTCAAACACACACACTCCCATTATTTTTATATACATATATTATATAGTATATATATATTATATTGAAGTCAATATGGGATGGCTGTATCATCATTTTCAACCCCTGCACAAGTCTTCTTAAATGAGAAGAGGGGTTATTTTTCTAATATGAATAACATTTGTCCCATGAAAATTGGATATATCACCAAAGTAAATTATAAGACTTCCTACTTTTGGTCAGAGTAATTGAATTGACCACCAACAGGTAGAAGACTGCCTCTGGGGGCACTTTTTTTTTTCTATTTCAAAGACTTCCAAAGATTTGCAAGAAATTAATCACAAAAGTTTTCCTGGGAATATATTTTTTAATGCTTTAAATTTTCTATAAATGTCAACTATTTTATTCATAATATATACATTCTCTTTTGAAAGGAGAGAATTTATAATGGTTCTTGTAGTCGAACATTTTTTGTTTTTGTAAAGGGAATAAAACATTGTAAGGGATCTAAGTTCTAGGGATCTTCATGATCACACACTGTTAAAATGTGCAAGTACTTATTACTTGGTGTCCAGCTATTTAAATGAACCCATGCAGACAGAAATTGAACCACACGTTTATTCAGGTCGTGTGCTTCACCAGAATCCATACAAGAATTAAGCATGGTTTTGACCATGGAAGCCGGTTTTGATAACCCCAACCTTTTGCAAATCAATTAGGAAGCTTGACTTGTAGACTGCTTACTGTTAATTAGCAAAAAATGTATCCCGTGTTGGAGAATGTTTATAACTCACACTTTCTGTTTGCCATGACATGACATTTGCATGGGGTTATTGTAAAATAAATAATTTCCAACAGAATTTACTCAATAATTTCTCTCCCCCTACCTTAGATTGGATGAACTACATCTAAGTTAAAAATCTCTTCCTTTAGAAAAGCTTATTATGAAGAGAAAAACCACAAGCTTCTTTCTTGTTAATTTGAATGTGAAATTAGCATTTTTCTGAAGCTTCAGAAGATCCTCCAAAATTTGAACTATGTTTGAAATGAATACCAAGCAAGTGCTTACTTTCTCCTGTCATCTTGCTGCTATGATTGCTGAAGGTCAGGAGCCGCACCCTGCACAGTCCCAAGGGCACAGCAGGTGTTCTAGAAATACTTAGGGGTTGTAAAGAGCCTAGGGAGCCCCTCCGAAAACTACGATTCCATCATTTTGTCATCATCACCAACATAAGAGGCCTGGGTGGCATTTAACTTACCTTAAACAAATGTCCCCAAATGTATCTGAGATAAATATGTCTCATGATGCCATTCAGCTGATGACATTTGCTACTGCATATCTAGATGCACACAAATGCTTCCCCCCCCCCCCAGGGAGCTATATCATGACAACTCTGCTTGGGGGGGGTTATCAATAATAGACCAGCAATTACGGGTATCCCCAACTTTTCAGAAGTTCAGTTTAAGCCACCTCCCTTTCATGAAAGACCTATATTACTACTGAAAGGAATCAGAAGATTTTTGGCACAAAAGGTGAAAAATGACAATAGCATCCAGCATTTGTTTTACAGTGAGTTGTTACAGAGGCGGCATGCAGCCAGAGCAGCGAGAGTGGTACCGCCAAGCTCCTTCCCGGGGAACTACACTCAGCTTCTCAGCATCAAGCCACGATAGCTTTGAACTGTGTCTGTGAGCATCTGTGCTTCATCTCAATTCATTTTGTGCATCTGTTAGCAAGATGGGTCCCGAGGTAATTGCTTCTTTGTTCACACCTTTTCGGCTTACGGAAGTTTTACAGGAACGCTCTACTTTCAGATAGTGGGGGAAAACTGTACCTAAAGGTACAAATTTGAGGAACAGGTAAGGTGGCGACCCAGATAGCCTGGACAGACTAGAATTCATCCTATTGGGTCATGAGCTCAAGAAGCAACTGCTGTGGAGTTTCTCTAACTACACATTTCCCCCCAAATCGGTGCCCACCGTGTATCTGCTGCTCCTTCTCTAGACCAGCTGGAACAGCACCCCCAGTCTGCTGAAACCTAAGTCCCACCACAGGTTCCAGATAAAGAGGCATTAGGACTCCAAGTAAGTTGTAGTTTAACGTCTTGAATCTTCCCTCCCTTCACAGTGTCTCTTCTTTAGGACCTAGCTTTGCTCATTATCTGGCAGCCACTGCCAGTGCTCACCAAGATTTGCAGTGCACCCCTCCTTCCAGGCTCATGGTCCCTGGAAGTTAGCCGTGGCCATGTGACATGCTCTGACTTGCTCTGGCCAAGGAAATGTGAATGGAACCATTTAATTACTGGAGTTGAACTTCCAGTCCTCTCACCCCACTGCCACAACTGTAGATAATACAGATCATTAACCTGGGATTCCAGACAGAGGACAATGTAGACTGGAGTCCTCCTGCTGACGTGCAATGGACATGTAGCATGAGGAAGAAATAATATGTTGGATTTTTTTTAATCGATCTTTCTTGGAGTATAATTGCTTCACAATACTGTGTTAGTTTCTGTTGTACAACAAGGTGAATCATTCATATGCATACATATATGCCCATATCCCCTCCCTCTTGAGCCTCCCTCCCACCCTCCCTATCCCACCCGTCTAGGTCATCACAAAGCACCAAGCCGATCTCCCCGTGCAATGCTGCTGCTTCCCACCAGCCAACTATATACTGTTTAGATGCAGGGGTTAGTTGTTACTGCAGCATAATTTTGCCTAATTTAACTGACACACCTTCCCCTTAATGGGATTTGTGCTCCAGATGATTTCTTCATTTATTTGATCCCCAAGTCAGAACTTTTTCTCATTCCACAGGTATAATCCCAGGTTTGGACCTGCTTCCTTGTCTAACCCTTGTCACTTCCTGATCTTGCAGACGCATCCCTGCCTCTGAACGTTAGCCCTTATGGACAGATCTTATATGTAATGACTGCCTACGTAATCCTTCAATAGCACTCATTCTAGATTCCACACAGCTGGCTCATTCCATTTGCTGGAGCTTCCTTCTGTAGCCCTGAGTGGCCACAGATCCTGCTGGGCCCCGTGGATGCTGTATCTGACCCGCAGCTATGACTTCTCTGCCAGTCCAAAGCTGGAACAGCTCCTGCACTGCACACCCAGTGTCCTCTGGTGGTCCCAGGCCTGGGTCTTAGCTCCCTCTGCTCTGTTTACCCTGCACTACCAAGTAGCATTCCTTCCAGAGTAAACACCATGTCTCAGGAGTGGCCAGGTGAGAGGAATGTGACATGAAGACTAACAGAGCAGGCCTCCTAGATGGCAGGAATTAGGGAGTTTGAAGATGAAGAAACAGGCCTCTCTCTATGTTTTGCTAATCTTCGAGTTTTGAACTCTCTCCATAAAAATAATCTATCGTATGATTTGAATCCTCTGTCCCAGTCATTAAATTTCTGAATGGGATGGCAATTCAGGAATGCTCAAAGATTTCGACAAGGATGTTTGTAACAGTGCTATTTACATTAACGAGGAGAAAAAGGCAAGACTCAAATGTGCAACAGTGAGAGAAAGTTGAATATAAATTATTAAATGCCCAATGATGAAATAATATGTTATAAAATATGTATGGATAAGAAAAAAAACATAAGAGATTACTAAGTGAAAAGAGCAGAAATTCAAAATGGGATGTGCTGCCTAATCCTACCTTTGCTCAAAAACTCATACTTACATTTGTATAGAAAACAGGGTGTTCCCTGGTGGCCTAGTGCTTGGGATTCCAGGCTTTTCACCATCGTGGCCGGGTTCAATCCCTGGTCGGGGAAGTTCCTGCAAGCTGCATGGTGCGGTCAAAAAAAAGAAAAAGAAAATAGATGAATGATATATAGCAAAATATTTGCCATGCTGGGTTTCAGAGTAATTTTAGTATGCTCCTTTATACTTTTTGTATTTCTCAAATTTTCTATAATAAGCATATGTTATTTTCTAATCGGAAAATAATGTTATAAAATACGATAAGAAGTATGGTTTCTACTTCAGACATGGTCTAAACTATTACACTGACAGCCTAAGATGATATTCCCTGTCCTTTCTTTGCAATCAAGTATCCTCAGGTTTCATAATGGCTTTCTTTCTTTTTTTCTTTCTTTCCTTCTTTCTTTCTTTTCTTCTTTCTGTGTCTTGCTCTCTTTATCACAAAACAACTTAACAAAATTACTAAGTACTAACAATTACCATGCAGAACAAAATATGGAGGGTTCCAGAAATGCATATCTGAGGATGTGTATTATATAATTCTGGAAGCAATATAAATAATTTTGAAGTTTCATGTTATTTTCTAAAAAAACTACTCACCTGTGAGTAAAGCTTTGGAATAATATATCCATTTGGATTATTATTTTCTTAAGTATTTGAGGAATAGACAAAAAATTATGAATGATTAATTTTGAAGAAATTTAAGTTGCTGGAAACTGGTTTTAACTAAACCTAGAAATGGAAATCGTTAAGCAGATCCTGCTTGGAGAGGGAAGGAAAGAATTGTCAAGTGTCTGCTTCCTCCAAACAGCAGTGGGTGCCCAGCACAGCAATGGCCCATCTCCAATTCCCAGCACCAATACAGGACTTCAGGTTGAGCCTGACTTTCTGGGGATCAGCATCGACCCTACTTTCTGGACATGAGCAATAGGTCACACGTTGATGAATCTCCCTTTAAGGCAGTGCACCAGGTTTGGTCGCTGCCCCTAAATTCTGTTCGGCTAACCGCCCATGAACATAATTCCCTAGGGGACTTGGCCTGTCCCAGGAACTAGAGTCAGGTTCCAAACTTCCTGCCTTGTGGAAAACTTTCCCAATCCTGATTCCAGTCCTTCCAATCACAGACTCCTACCTCTTTCTGTATCCTGACTTGCTGCAAAATGGGAATTGGTTAAATATATGAGTGAATGAATAAAAATGATGAAAGGAATGAATGGGGTTATTTGAACTGTGAGCTCATGTAGCTCTAATCCTTGGACCCTGTGTAATACTAAACTGCCTCAGACAGAACCTAGAGCAGGATCTATCTTGTCAGGCTTCAGTGGGCAAAAATGTATGACCCTCCCCTCATCCTGCCCACCCCTCCCCCTATTACCCTAATACAATGCCTGCCAACTCCAGTCCTAAGACATGCCATGAGTGGTCCCCACGGTTAAGTCACAGAGTTTGAGGTTGTTATTCAGTGACCTAACAGCAGCCTTTGCAAGACATGTCTGTTTTACTAAGTTGACAAATGTGCACTGAGAATAAGTAAAATTAAAATCATTTGAATATGGTGCATCGAGGAGACACAAATTATTTTCCCACCATTTTATCAATATTTTGCCTTCCATATAGTAACCAAGCCCCTGTGGATCAACTAAGAGAAGAGGATGATTCTGGAATCCACAGATAACCTTTCTTTTTCTATTCCTGCCTTGAAGAAGTTTAGACTCTGTAGTCCTAGAAATGCAGTTAGTGGAACTGGCAGCCTTGCACCCACCCCTATGGAAAGATATACACTGAAGTAAATACCTTTGGCACAATGGCATGGTTTAGGTGGTATTTCAGAGGCAACAACAGGCATCTGAGCAATCTGCCATCTCATTGACATTCTACCACATGCCTCAAAATTCTCCAGGCAGGCTCACCTAAAAAATCTTGCAAGGCATGTACTTCAGGTAAATTCTAACTATAATTTAGGTGCATTTGAGTGATTCCAGACCTTCAGATGTTAATCACTTGGCAGGACATAGAGTCCAAGAGAAGTGATGTGTGATGACTTGAAAAAGATTTAAGCACTGAATGGTTGAAAGGGTTCCTGTGAAATTGCTTTACCCTCACTTAATCTGGCTCTTAGCTTTTAAAATCAATTAAAATGTACTTTATTTGGAGATTTTCCCTACAAATACAGTAGCACATGTGTAGCATGTAGCCTATTAAATAGGTAGCCTAGGTAGATATTAAATAGGACTTCCTATCTTTCTGGGGAGCATTTTTTTCCTGACTATTTGGTAACATCCTTTCCTTGATCCCTGCAAAATGTCACCGTTGAGGTCTAATCCTCATGAAGTTAAACACACTGATCCTTCCCTTGGACTCCTTGTGAATGAAAGGGAAGGCTTAGCCCGTAGAAGTTTTATTTGCTTTGGGTAAGCTATACCCCTAGATGCAAAGAGTTAAAAGGGTGTTTTGCATCTTCAGAATGAAGTTTTGGAAATACATAAAGAACAAGCTCAACATGTATCCAAACTAGGGATCTGGTGGATTTGGGATAAAACCTGGACTATTTTGGATGTACTACCAAGTAGACTTTTCTCTGAATGATGGGTTTTATTTGAACTCCCTAAAATAAAATGCCTTTTAACTTTTTAAGACTTAGTATCTACATGGCTTATTATTCAGTTGAAATAGTGTTTGTCGTGATTAGATAGACGCATATGTCTATACAAATCTCTGAAATTATTAAAGCCTCAGAGTAGTCCAAAATGATGAAGAAAGATCACATTTAGACAAAAAATTTTTGACCCCAAATCAATCCCATAGTTTTATTTTCCATTCTAAAACTTTTTTTATTATTAAAGTATAGTTGTTTCATAAAGTATAGTTGATTTACAATATTGTATTAGTTTCAGGTATACGTCAAGGTGATTCAGTTATATATATATTTTTTTTCAGATCATTTTTCCATTATAGGTTATTACAAGCTATATTGAATATAGCTCCCTGTGCTATATAGTAAATCCTTGTTGCTTATCTATTTTATGTACAGTAGTTCGTATCTGTTAATTCCATACTCCTAATTTGTCTCTTCCCTGCTTCCTTTCCCCTTTGCTAACCATAAGTTTGTTTTCTATGTCTGTGAGTCTATTTCTGTTTTATATACAGATTCATTTGTATTATGTTTTAGATTTTACATATAAGTGATATCATATAATATTTGTCTTTGTCTGTCTGACTTATTTCACTTAGTATGATATTCTCTAGGTTTATCCATGTTGCTGCAAATGGTATTATTTCATTCTTTTTTATGGCTGAGTAATGTTCCATTACACACACACACACCACCGCCGCCGCCACCACCGCCGCCGCCGCCACCACATCTTCTTAAACCAATTGTCTGTTGATGGCACTTGGGTTGTTTCTGTGTCTTGGCTATTGTAAATAGTGCTGCTATGAGCATTAGGGTGCATGTATCTTTTCAAATTAAGAGTTTTTGTCTTTTCTGGTATATGCCCAGGAATGAGCCAATTGCATAATTTTACAATCAGTACTTGTGGTTTAAAAAAGGTGGGGAAATGGTACTTTTTATATATTACTGGTAGAAGTTGCTATGAACTTTCTGGAGAACAACTTGTCACTATACATCAAAAGCCTTAAGGAGAGTGTGTCCTTTGGACCAATAATTATACTCTGTTTCATTTACTCTAGGGACATGGAGATACAAAGATTTATATACAAGGATTGTTCATTGCATCATCATTCATAATGATAAAGAATGGGAGACAGCATAGATGTCTAACAGTTCAGTGTTATTTGAAAGGATTATTATAAATTCACACAACGGAATACCCAGTAGCCATTAGCATAATTTTTGAAGCACATTTAATAAATGAAAAAAATTCAGGGGAAGAGCAAATAACTAAATACATAAATATTTATTAGAAAAATAGCACAACACTGGAAACAAATACTCACCAGTAATGTACTGGTTAAGAAATTGTGGGGAATCTGCACTGGAAAACTATGCCGTGTCAAAAAGAAAAGTGCAGGCCATGGACCTGTCTCTGAGAGGTATTGTAGGAAAAGCAAATTACAGAAGAGGTTGTACAGTATGCAAGCATTTTTGTAACTAGAAGATATAGCTATAGATATTTCTGGAAGTCTGCCACAGAACTAGTAACACTGGCTGCCTCTGAGGAGGTGAGAGGTGGGTTGGCAGTAGGAGGGGAGATTCACTTCTTGTGTAAAATTTTGTTCTATTTGAGCACTTTTCCATATGACTATACAAATTAAAAAATAAATACATGGTATGTCCACTATGATTTTAACTTGCAAATAATTTCATGTCTATCCACCTGAATAGAAAAGACTCAAAACCAAACAAAAAAAATGTAGACAAGGGTTATCTTTGGGTGGTAGGATTATAGATAATATTAATTTTCTTCTATGTGTTTTTCTGTATTTTCTGAGCCTCCCTCACCGCATCCCCCAGGACAATCAACATTGATAAAGATTTTAAGAATATAATTGAGGGGGAAAAGGAAATTTTAAACTTTCTAAAGGGAATTCCCTGGTGCTCCAATGGTTAGAACTCTGCACTTCCACTGCAGGGGCATGGGTTCGATCACTGGTGGGGGAACTAAGATCCCGCAAGCCACGCAGTGCGGCCTAAATAAATAAATTTTTTAAAAAAGGTCTAAAGGTCTAACGAGACGGTGGACGAGGGGCTTGCTTGGATCTGGTGATGTGAGCGCTGAGCCTAGTACTGCTTCTGTGTTAGGCAGGACTGGCCTTACTTCCCATCTCCACTAGGTAATTATGGCTGCATTATCCACCTACTGGCTGAGGCCTGCACATATGTAATTAGTTTTGTTACTATAACTCAGTTGTTCTCAATCTTGCCTGCACAACGGAATACCTGGGGGCATTAAAAAATACTAAAAATATACCAAGCCCCACCCCAGACCAATTAAATCCAAATATTTGGGGTGAGAATCCAGCATCCAGTATTATTTAAAGTCTCCCCAGGTGATTCTAATGTGTAGCCAAGGGTCAGAACCACACTTAAAACTGGAGCTTTGATCTCGCTGAAAATGCAAATACTCCTGGAAGGGAGCTGTGATTTATTATCAGTAGGTTATAGGCTTCCTGAGAATAGGTAAAAGACTAAATGACCATAGATTCTTCCCAAAAGGATGACAAATTCTGAGACCAGGAAAGCTGGAGGCCAAATACAACTTCCTCCAAGACTCCTTCAGTCTTAAGAAAGGGGGCATAGGGAATAGAAAACTGAGAGTGAGAAAACCCAAGTACTACTTCTGCTTTGCCACTTCCTGGCTGGAGAACCTGGATCCATTTATAGACCCTCTAGGTATGACCCTGTTGTAAAATGTGCCAGTTGGATTAGCTCAGAGGTTTTGAAAATGGCCTGAGGGAAGAGGAAAGAGGAAGAAGTGTGGGCGTTCCATGTCACACGCCCCCCACCCCCCATCAGTGGATTGGCTTATTTATAGATTTATAGATTGGCTCTCCAGTATGCTTTATTTTTAAGACATGATTCCTGGATTTAAAAGAAACTCCCTAGATCACATGGCTTCTTAGCTCTCATTCTACAATCTTCACTTTTTAATGTAAGCCAAATAGTGAACCTAAAATATATGATATTTTCTGCATTTTCTCATCATTTTGGGGTATTTGATTTTCCTGATACCATGTGTTTTAGTGGAGGCTGTGGAAGCTTCTACTTCTTCCATTTGGACAATCAGTGGCTTTTCAACCCAGTTTTTTTGTTCCAATTCCACAGGCAGAAATCATGGATATTTTTAAGTTGTAAAGAATAGATAATCTTCCACAGCTCACGCCTTCCCTGGAGTGACAAATTCTCCACTTGTATGCCAATTCATGTATAACTTCCATACCAGGGCCAGGATAGGGTAAGGCAAGTGAGGCATTTGTCTTGGGTGCAAAATTTAAGACAGCACCAAATACCTCAGCAATCAAGATACATAATACTTAAGTCAATATTTAAAAAAATTAATACAAAAATCCATGAAGAACAAATTATAAAAATTTAAAATAAACATATTAATAAGTACTTTAAATTAAAAAAAAAGATTCTACATTAAAAAAAAATTTTTTTTAATAAAGGGAGGATCACCAGTAGTTCTCTGCCAAGCCATATTGGAGCCTCCAGCGAACAAAATCTCCTCACTTCACTCTATCCTAGGTCCCATTCCATACAGTTGAAAGTACTTAACCCAAATCAGCTCTTAAGAATTTGTATAAGGCCAGTGGGGCCTAATCAAACTTATAAGCTTTTGCACAGCAAAGGAAACCATAAACAAAACAAAAAGACATCCTATGGACTGGGAGAAAATGTTTGCAAATGATGAGACCAACAGGAGATTAATTTCCAAAATATACAGACAGCTCCTACAATTCAATAACAACAAAAAAAACCACAACCCAGTGGAAAAATGGGCAGAAGACCTAAATAGACATTTCTCCAAAGAAAACATACAGATGGCCAACAGGCACATGAAAAGATGCTCAACATCACTAATTATTAGAGAAATGCAAATCAGAACTACAGTGAGGTATCACCTCACACCAGTCAGAATGGCCATCATTTAAAAAGTCTACAAATACCAAATGCTGGAGAGGGTGCAGAGAGAAGGGAACCCTCCTACACTTTTGGTGGGAATGTAAATTTGTGCAGCCACTATGGAAAACAGTATGGATGTTCCTGCAATCCCACTTCTGGGCATATATCCAGAGAAAACTTTAATTCAAAAAGACACATGCACCCCAAACTTCATAGCATATATATATATATATATAAACACACACACAATGGCATATTAGCCATAAAAAAGAATGCCATTTGCAGCAACATGGATGGACCTAGGGATTACTTAGTAAGTGAAGTGAGTCAGATAGAGAAAGACAAATAACATATGATATCACTTATATGTGGAATCTAAAAAAAATGATACAAATGAACTTATTTACAAAACAGAAATAGACTCACAGACATAGAAGACAAACTTATGGTTACCAAAGGGGAAAGGGTGGGGAGGGATAAATTAGGAGTCTGAGATTAACAGATACACAGTACTATATATGAAATAGATACACAAGGACCTACTGTATAGCACAGGGAACTATATTTAATATCTTGTAATATTAATAACCTATAATGGAAAATCTATAATCTGAAAAACAATATATATATATCTGAATCACTTTGCTGTATACCTAAAACTAAGACGACATTGTAAATCAACTATAATTTTAAAAAATTTGACCACCCAGACCCACAAAAAGGGAATTTGTATAAGGATGGAAAGATGGAAGTACACTGACAAATTTGGAAGAGGCCTTTGGAAATTTTTGTGGCTCAAATAGATTCTGGTAGGCTTAAGAGATAGAAAAAGAAAGGAAAAATGAACAAGAGAGATACCTTTATATCTAATTTTGTGGTCTGGAAGAGATATTTTATATTCCTATTTAAGACTGAAAAGCCATTAGCTTCCCAACATCTTGGTAAAATTCAGAATGGCAGGTTTACAAGGATAGTAACTAATTGAAAGGTTATGATTAAGACCATTTCAATTACTGAGAAGGCAGCACAACAGATACTTTAATTA